ACCACTATCCTGATGAGGGACAATCTGTTACTTTTAACTTAATTTATGAAATCTTGAGTAGAAAATTTTGATTTTGACATAATGATCATACAAAGAATAGTTGAGTTTGTGGCAAGCTTACTATGTGCCAGGAATAGTTCCAACCAGTCTGCACCTACTAACTCATTTAATCTTTCCAACAACTTTTGATTCTGGCACCGTTATTATATCCATTTTACAAATAAGAAATCACAAAAATTAGGGGATTTGGCAGGCCTTATTTTTTTAATCTGTCTTCACCCTTATAGCATGACAATATGTCCCTATATTTTCTTTTTAGTAGTTTGTCTCTTACAAAGATCTTTAAGTCATTTGGAGTTTGCCATTGTACAAAGTGTGAGTTAAGAATCTAATTTTATTTTTTTCTCCTACGTCACTTTTAGAATTGGAAGCCTTAGTCATGGTCTCACTGTTGCCCAGGCTGAAATGCAGTGGTGTGATTATGGCTCACCACAGCCTCCATCTCCTGGGCTCAGGGGATTCTTCTCCTTCAGCCTCCTGAGTAGGTGGGACGACAAGCAGACACCACTATGCCCGGCGAATTTCTTGGTTTTGTATGGCAATGGGGTCTCACTATGTTGCCTAGGCTTGTCTTGAACTCGGAGGCTCAAGCAATCCTCCTGCCGTGGCCTCCCAAAGTACTTGGATTACAGGCGTGAACACTGCACTCGGCGTTCCATTTTCTTTCTTCTTTTTTTTGAGTTGGAGTATCACTCTGTTGCCCAGACTGGAGTGCAGTGGCCGCTCCTGGCCACCGCAGCCTCAACCCGCTGGGCTGCGGCGATCCTTCCGCCTCAGCCTTCCAAGAAGCTGGAACTACAGGCGCATGCTACCGCGCCTGGCTAATTTTTGATTTATTGTAGAGATGAGGTCTTGCCTGCCCAGGCAGGTCTCGAACCCGCAGGCTCAGGCATTCCACTCACCTCAGCCTCCTAAGGATTACAGGCTGAGCCACCGAGCCCGCCTTCCATTTTCTATAGAATAAAAATAAAGCTCTGTAATGACCACCATATTTTTTTCTCATCCCACGTGGCCCCTTTCCTACCTTTCTCTCAAGCAACATCCTTACCAGTCAAAAAAGTCAGTCCATCACCTTAGAAGCCATGAACCTTTCTAGTTATCTTTGTTCAAGCCTTTCCCTCAGTCTGGAATAGCAGTTCTACTCTTCTATCTGTAAGGAAAAACTTGAAAGCTACAAGCACAGCTGAAATTTAATCTCCTTTGTGAGAGCATTACACCAAAGCATTCTTCTCTTTTTTCTTTTCCTCTTCCATTAGTCTTTCAAAAGTCAATTATTTTCCTGCTCTGTGCTTCTACAGGAGTTTATTATTGATCTTTATGGCCTGATTATAGTTTCTTGAATATCTAGTGTCCCTTTCTTGGAAACCATGTCCCTTGGTTGTTTGTTCATTCAGCTATTTATTCAACACTCACCACCTATCATGTGCTAGCACTGTGCTAGATTCTTGAATATACAAGTTTCCAAGGAACTCAAACAAGCAAGAAAGATAAGTGCACAAAACAGCATGATTTATATTGATAAATTATTATAGTACCTGGTAGGTTCTACAAATACACGGGGGAGAACACCAAAAAACCGGAATTTATTTATTAAAAATTATGTATGTGTTGTCACATGTTTAAACTTCAGTCACCTTCAAAGTATCCTCTGTTTGATGCAATATACCTATCGAGATGCTTTTTCCACTACTCAAAACAATTTCTGAACTCGTTCATTTTGATGCCTTTTAGATCTTCTACTGTTTTTTGTTTCACCTCTTCCACATTGGCAAGATGTTTCCCTTTGAGGATTTTTCATCCAGGAAAACAAAATACGGTCTCTAGGAGTAGGGGAAGATCAAGTGAACAGGGAGAGTGGGGTATAGGGATCATGCTATTTTTGGTCAAAAACTGAACACTCAGGTGTGCTCATAAATCACCCATCATGAAGTGGACAAACACATTGAAAGAATCTCTAAAAAGAAATTCACTGAGGTTGAATGCAGCCTCTCAGCACACTAGCTGGTACACTGAGGCCCATGGGTTCCTAGGACACTCACCTAGCAGGGGAAGCCTGCATTACAAGGGGTTTGCCCTTCAAAAGATAATTCCGGGTGTTTTTAGGTCCCCTTTATGTTCTATGAAAAGACTCAGCCCACTAATGCTCACGTATTTATTTTCAGCACTATGTCCAATACAATAAAAAACATTTTAAAGCAATTCAAACAATTCACCTCACCTCTCTTAACACCCCAAGTTCAGAGTTTGTGAACAACTTCTTAGAGCTCTTGTGGGATAGAACCAAAAAAAAAAAAAAAAATCATTGAAATAAAAAAGGATGAATTTAGGTTTGAGGCTACATCTAGGATTGGAGGATATAAACAAAAAGAAAAAGGATTACTATGAACTATGTATTTGGATCCACTTGAATGTTTTTTATGATATTTGAGTAAAAAATAAAATAAAACTCTCCTTCAATTTCTTTTGGCCATTGAGTTGGACATCTTAGACAGGTTTCAATGTAAAGATTAACATCTCAATTCCTGTTAAAAGATCTTGTACTCAATGAATGTGTGAGAAATTGAAAAATGTTTTCTATCATTCCTCAGAGTAGACTAAAATTATTATGTAGGGAAACTGATGCATTTTGGGAAAAAATATGTAATGTAGATGATTTGGAGAACAGATAATTTTTTTTTTTTTTTGAGTTGGAGTCTCACTTTGTCGCCCAGACTGGAGTACAGTGGCCACTCCCAGCCACCGCAGCCTCGACCTGCTGGGCTCCGGCGATCCATCCGCCTCAGCCTTCCAAGTAGCTGGAACTACAGACGTGCACTACCACGCCCGGCTAATTTTTGATTTATTGTAGAGATGAGGTCTCATCAAGTTGCCCAGGCGGGTCTCGAACCTGTGGGTTCAGGCAATCCACTCACCTCAGCCTCCCAAGGCACGGGATTATAGGCTGAGCCACCAAGCCCAGCTGATAATTTTTTTTTAAAAACTAAAATTCATCCATGATATCACCTAAGAAATAACACTTGTGATATGTTGATTTTTTTCCTCTAGTTTTTCAATACACATTCATTCAAGCATTTACTGAATAACTACAAAAAAAACCAAACACTGTGCTAGGCCATAGAGACACAACCCAGAACAAAAGTAGAGTTCACTTTCCAGTTGTGGGACAGAAGCAATTGACAAAACACATAAATGCACTATAATGCATAAAATAAGTCTGTACATAAATAGATGCAGATTACATAAACATATGTATGTTCAAAGGTGATAAATATTATTAAGAAAAGTAAGTCATGGAAGAGGATCAAATAGGGAGTGCGAGAGACTAGATGTTGCAGTTTTAAATAAGATGGCCAGGAAAGACTTCACTGAAAAAGTGACACAATCGATATGGGTAAAGGAACAAGCCTAATGGATTTTAGGACAAGGGAATGAATGACAAGCACAAAGCAATTTCCTTATTTTCACATTTAGCGTCTGCAGTCCATATGGTTGGGGTAGAACCCTGCCTCCTATGAGCAACCCATCTGATTTCCCTGAACAATTTCCCTCTTGTTGGACATTTATGTTGTTCCCTTTTCTGTTTCCTTTTCTTATGCTATCATGAATGACACCATAAGTTTCTTTAATTGCATTTAATCCCACTCCTGAGACTCTGCAGGATAGAGTCTCAGAAGTGGGATTACTAAAGTAATATCCCCCGATCATTTCTAACAGTCTTGATTCAAATTACCAAATTGCTGCCAAAGAAGTTATGGTAGTAGCTATTCCAACCATCATTATGACACTTATCAAATGTTTGCCAATACTGAGTAGTGCCATTAAAATAAAATAAAAATTAAAAAAATTGACTGGGTGTAGTGGCTCACACCTGTAATCTCAGCACTTTGGGAGGCCAAGGAGGGGGATTACTTGAACCCAGAGTTTGAGACCAGTCTGGGCAACATAGTGAGACCTCATCTCTACCAAAATAAATAGCCAGGTGTGGTGGGACATGCCTGTAGTCCCAGCTACTCAGGAGGCTGAGACGTGAGGATTGCTTGAGCCCAGGAGTTTGAGGCTGTGCAGAGCTGGGATCATGCCACTGCACTCCAGGGTGAGACCCTGACTCAAAACCAAAATTTTTTTAAAAAATAAACCTTTGATAATGTAATAGGTGAGAACACTATCATATTTTAATTGAATTTAATCTTTTTTTTATTTTTAAAATTATTAGTGTGGTTGGATTTTTAAGTATATTTGCTAGTCATTTTAAAAATTACCTGCTCTTGACCATTACTCATTCTTCTACTGGAGTAATTTTTCTTACCTGTTTGTGTGTATTTTTAATATTTTTTAACACATTTATTTTATTTGTGCTAATCTTTACCAGATAATTGTTTGCAATAACAATTTAAATATAAGAAATAGAAAAAATTGAAGGGTTATTTTTTAAATCATGGGCATAATAATGGGCATCTGATGATATTGAGTTACTGGTCAAAGTTTGGCAACAAAGCTTTGATATTTGAAGACCACACTCAAAGAACAGTCTAATGCTAAACCAAGAGAAACAGGATCACTGGATAGTATCTAAAAATATGATTATTTTATGTAAAATCTTTGACTATATGAAGCAAACTTCTTCAGCTGTGTTTAAGAATTTTTAAGTCCCAATTACAAACTAGGTACAATTTTAAGTTCTTCCAAGTGACATTTATAATTAGTATGCTTAGCAACATTATTATCCTCATCACATACCTTTCACAGATAAAGAAAGTGGAGCTGAAGGAAAATAAGACGAGCAGGTACCAAACCTAGTGGGCAGCAAGCAACTCTTGGAACTGAGGTTCCTTCTATTATGTCGTACTTTAGCTACTTACGCAATGCAGATACTTTGCATGCCACAAACACAATTCAGCAGACTCACAACATGACACAAAGTTTTTACTCTTGAGTCTTACCCGGCCAGAATCCAAAGCAGTAGGCATATTTTTCAGTTCATACACAGCAACCTGTCCGTCACTGTCTCCCACCAGAAGGCAATCTGTTTGTTTGGCAAAGAGAATGGTTGTGAACTTGATTCCGGGGTTAGCAACATTCACAATCAGAGGGTCCAAACTGTAAGGAAACATTTTATTTGTGAATTCAATTGTTATATTAGTATGGTCTTTTAGGTACACACACTTAGAAAATTTTGAGATTTTAAAAAAATTTCACATAACAAAACCTGAAAGCCTCTTTAAGTGCTTCCAAATTCAAAATAACTGCTTTTCACTCCTTACTCAATCAAAACCTTCATTTAGTCAATGAACTAATTTCAACCAGGTAAATTAAAGTAATTCGCAATTAAGATGTGAATTCATAAATTTAAACTTTTGTGAAGGTTAGTTTTGTGTGTCTACCTGGCTAGGCTATAGTATCTAGTTGTTTGGTCAAACATCAGTAGTCAACACGTTGCTTTAAAGGTATTTTTAGAGGTGTGATTAACATTTAAACCTCGACTAGCAATTGAATAAAGTTGATTGGCCTCCATACTATGGGTAGGCTTCATCCAATTAATCTAAGGCAGTAAGAGAAAAGAGTGACTTCCCCCAACGGGGAGTAAACTCCTGCCGCAGAATGCTCTGGACTCAAGACCGTCGCGGGACTCCGCCGGAAACTCCAGCCTGCTAGCCTGTCCTGCAGATTTCAGACTTGCCGGGACCCACAATCAGGTGAGCCAATTCCTTAAAATAAGTCTCTCTCTCGAATAGACAAAGCCAGAGCCAGAGCCAGATACAGACGTTGTGCTGGAGGAACTCAGTGCCTCCCAGGCGGGTCCACGTCGGGTTTGGTCGGTCAGAGAACGGAGGAGCCAGGTCCACACCAACTGCACTCTTGACTTGTCGCCATGGCGGCCGTCGATGACCAGGTGGATGGGTCCCCGTCTGCTCGAGGCGCACCTATGCCGTAGTGGTGCACAGCCAGATTACGAGCACACAGTGATACTTAGCGAGTCACGTTAGTTTGCTCAGTCCTAAACTCCGGTGGGCCAAGTCCAAGGGAGCACCGTCTTGCTTTGACCAGACAAAAAAGTCTGACCGACTCACAGGTATAGATATAGACACATACATCCTCTTGGTTCTGTTTTTCTGTAGAACCCTAACACAACTTCTTAAATAATAACTCTCTCTTAACAAAAGAATGTTTTGATCCAAATGAACCCCTGGAACATAAAAGTACATTTTGAGCAGAAAGTTCTCTTAGTCACCCAAAGCAATCCACCTAATGTTCTCAAAAGAGGAACAGAAGTGACAACTTTGTATACTTGTTCTAAAGAAGTGTTGTCCTGGGAGCTATAGTTTTTCCAGGAAAATTAAAACCAGAGGGGATTTTTTAAGTAGCCACTTTTCACACTTAAAAATAAAAATAAATTATTGTGATATAATCTTTTTTTTGAGTTGGAGTCTCACTCTGTCGTCCAGACTGGAGTGCAGTGGCCGCTCCCGGCCACCGCAGCCTCGACCTGCTGGGCTCCAGCGATCCTTCCGCCTCAGCCTTCCAAGTAGCTGGAACTACAGGCACGTGCTACCATGCCCGGCTAATTTTTTGATTTATTGTAGAGATGAGGTCTCGCCAAGTTGCCCAGGTGGGTCTCGAACCCCAGGGCTCAGGCAATCCACTCACCTCAGCCCGGCTGATATAATCTCTATTTGGTTCATACTGTTTTATAGGACAATTCATGAAAAAATTTAAAAATTATTATTAACATCTAGAAAAAAATTATGAAGAATAAACCCATTGAATGTTACATCATTTATTTTAAACAAGAACCTGTTTTCCCTTTTCTGCTATTAATAATAACTAGCATAAAAATGTCTACTATTTTATAATTGAAGAGGTAGAAATATTAAACATTTCATCCAGCACTGTATAAACTTTCATATTAAGAAGAATGAGTAGTCCTCTATGACCCTCTGAGAACTTTCGTACAACATCCTAAATCAGAAATTTTAATTAAGTTCATACCCCTTTGAATATCTTTTGAGATTAGGTAAAAAAAGATAAGTAAATATTACAAAAATAATTATTTTGTCGCCTTTATCTACTCTAAAGAATCTTTAGTTTAAAATGTAATCATGCCACTCTGTATTCCTCTATAAACCAGGCAATGAATAAAGAATTCAAATAGTTATTATATCCTATATCATCCTAGAAAAGTTTGAGGAGATGACTAAGGTAAACTATTTTCATTCAGGTATTTTTGAAACCACATGTAATTAACATTAATAAAGTATTCTGGCATTAAAGACTCTCACAGAGTAAACTATTACATCTTTTAAAGAAACTACAGTACTCTCTCACCAATGTCAACACTATCAAGTATTATCTAGTTTGTTTTTGTTTTGCCTCCCAAAGTAGCTGGGACCACAGGCATGTGCCACTATGCCTGGCTAATTTTTTATTTTATTTTAATTTTTGTAGAGATGACATGGTCTTGCTCTGTTGCCCAGGCTGGTCTCAAACACCTGGGTTCAAGCAATCCTCCCACCTGGGCCTCTCAAAGTGCTGGGATTACAGGCATGAACCCTCTCACTGAGCCAAGATATCATATAGTTTGAGCTGCTTCTACTAGAAATGTCCCCAAGAAAAATATGAACACTTACGTGCTGATGTGGAGGTCCCAAATCTCCACTCTGCTCTCATTTGCAGCTGCAAATATATAAGGTGACTTTGGGGACCAGGCAACATCGTAAATAACATAAGTAGTTGGATAAAAACTCAAAAATGGCTTGACATTCTCCTGTTGCCATATAATAACACCCCAATCTGCAGAACAGCTTAAAAACACATCATGACAAAATGGATTCCATGTTACTTTATACACTGGACCCTAGAAATAGAAAAAGGTAAACAGTTAGCATCTTATATTTTAAGCTTGATCAGAATATTTAAAGTGCTAAGATTTTTTTTTTTTTTTTTTTGAGATGGAGTCTCACCCTGTTGCCCAGACTGGAGTGCAGTGGCCGCTCCTGGCCACCGCAGCCACCCTGTTGCCCAGACTGGAGTGCAGTGGCCGCTCCTGGCCACCGCAGCCTCGACCTGCTGGGTTCCGGCGATCCTTCCGCCTCAGCCTTCCAAGTGCTAAGATTTCTAGAAGATTTTTACACTATCCATTATTGTGTGGGTATTATTGTAGCTGAGAATAAGATCATAAACTGTTCCCTAGATTGTTCCATTTAGAAAGATAAAAATATAGTTGCTACACTATTCACTAAATATTAATACATATTATACTTTTAAAAGAGTATTATAAAAAAAGAAATGAGGAAGAAAAGTAAGAAAACATGAATAGAACAAACATTAAAGATACAGAGCTGGGTGCGGTGATGCATGCCTATGTAGTCCCAGCCACTTCAAAGACCGAGATGGGAGAATCCCTTGAGCCCAGGAGTTTGAGGCCTATCTGAGCAACATAGTGAGACCCCCATATCTTAATTTAAAAAAACTAAAAAAAAAATAAAAAGAAGATATAGAGAATAGGCATGGGTAAGAGGTGATTTTACTTGGGGCTCAGCATGCTATCATAAGCAAAGCCTTTTAGAAACAAATAAAAATTGTGACTTCTAAAACTTGCAAGAAGAAACTAGGGATATCTAGAAGTCAAATAAAATGCCCCACATATTATTAGTGGTGTCCATAGAAGAAAGCACCTAATCCAAGCTGGTATTTTTACCTCTTAAGTTATACATTTATTGCATGTTAAATATGTTGTGTATAATGATACTATTTTTCTCAGAAATACTACAGTATAAATTTTCCATGTCCCCTAGAATTAAACTAACCTTATGTCCTCTGTAGGTATCTAAGTATTGTTCATTATATGAACAAGAACATTTGTGAATATGACCTTCTTCAGTGCCAGCCAAGTAGATGTTTGTGTCCTACAACACAAAAAATCAAAATGCATTGACTTGTGATATATTAGTAAGTATATTAAATAGAAGACTAGACAATTTAGGATCTATTAAAATCAATTCAAGAACTCAAACTAGAAATACTATCTTGAATATACTTGCCTATTGTCTTTTTCTTTCTGTCATTATTTTATAATAATCATACTACCTGGAAGACCACTGTGAAAAAATGTGTCCTTTGCTGAACCTGTGGATAGTATTTAATATCTTGCCTTGAAATTACATGAAAAACTTTGGCTTCAAATAAAGAAGAAACTTTTTAACATTTTGAGCTGCCTGACAATGGAACTAGCAGTCCAGGGAAATAGAAAGTGCTGTTTTAGTAGAGCTAGTCAAAGAGAACAGATATGCAATTTTAAACTACTTGATAAAGTCCAAGTTCTCCCAAAGTGGTTATTATCAACACACATTCACCAGCAGTATCTAAAAGTTCCCTTGACCCATATTCTCTTCAGCGGTTGGTTACATCAGAAACCTGACATGTTGCCATTCTATTAGATGTAAAACTATACCTCATGATATTAAGCCCCATTAATATGAATATTAATAAGGTTGAGTACTTTATGTTTACTGGCCATTTGTGTTTCTGTTTCTGTTTATGCCTTGACCATTTTACTAATGATCTTTTTCATACTCATTTGTAGAAGTTCCTTATGTATTCCAGATCCTGTTGCTTTGTCTATGACATATGTTGCAAATATCTTCTCCCAGTCTTTGGCTTACCTTTTTACTTTCTTTATACTACCAAAGATAAACAGAAGTTCTCATTTCCTGTTATATTTAGCATCTTTTTGCACTTTCTTTAAGATATCTTTCCCTACCTTAAGGTCATAGAAATATTTTTCTCTAAAAGATTTTTGTATATAACAGTATAGAAATTCAATTCCTTTTTAAAAATATGGATAACGATTATCCTAACACCATTTATACATGGTCATCTTTCCCTAAAGATCTTCAAAATCACTGTTGAACGTTAGGTTCCCCAGTAAATAAACTCTGAGAGTCTGAGATTTCATGCAAGAAATTTATTAGAGAGTCATCAGAGGAACAACTTCTATTGAGTGAAGCAGGAATTCAGACATTTAAGTTGAACTGTAAAGCAGGTGCGATTGAGGGCTTAGTCAAAACTACAATAAGCACTGGAGATGGCCCTTCAGAGTCCTGTTTCAAGGCCAGGAGGCCAAACAATTTACATCGGCCTCTTTAAATGAAAACAGTCAAGCTAGATGGTCAGCTCAAACCTAACCATATCAATAATCAAATGAAATGCAAATGGTCTTAACATCACAATTATAAGGCAGACGTTTTAAGATTGTATAAAAAAGCAAGACCCAACTACATGCTGTCTGCAAAAAAAAATTTATTTTAACTATGAAGAGATAAATACGTTAAAAGAAAAAGGACAGAAAATGAAAAATCATGCTAACATTAGCTAAAAGAAAATTGAAGTGCCTACATTAATATCAGACTAAGTCAATTTCAGAGTAAGTAATATTACTTGTTACAAATAGGGCCAGTTTATGGTGATAAGGGAGTTAATTAATCAAGAAGATGTAACAATCCTAAACATATATGTATGTACCTAATAACAAAGCATCAGGTTACACAAAGCTCAAGATCAGCCTGGGCAACTTGGCAAGACCTCATCTCTACAATAAAATAAAAAATCAGCCGGGCATTGTAGCATTTGCCTGTAGTTCTGGCTACTCAGAAGGCTGAGGCAGAAGGATCGCTGGAGCCCAGCAGGTTGACACCGGGGTGGCCGTGAACGTGCCACTGCACTCCAGCCAGGGTGATGGAGTAAGACTCTAACTTTAAAAAAAAAAAAAAAGATACACAAAGCAAAACTAATAGAACTACAAGAAAAAAAGAAAAATCCACAATTGTGGTGAGCCACTTTCATGTTTCTCTCTCAATAATTGATGGAAGAGAAAGCAGAAAATCAGCAAAGATGTAGTAAACGTAAACAGCACTATCAACCAAAGTAACCTGATTGACAGCTATAGAATGTTCCACCCAACAAAAGCAGAATACACATTCTTTTCAAGTGCATAGAGAACATTTACCAATATAGGCCATATTGAGGACTTTATAATAAACCATAATAAATACAAAGGGCCGAGGTCGGTGGCTCAGCCTGTAATCTCACGCCTTTGGGAGGCTGAGGTGAGTGGATTACCTGAGCCCACGGGTTCGAGACCCGCCTGGGCAGCGAGACCTCATCTCTACAATAAATAAAAAATTAGCCGGGTGTGGTAGCGCCCGCCTGTAGTTCCAGCTACTTGGAAGGTTGAAGCAGGATCGCCGGAGCCCAACAGGTCGAGGCTGCAGTGGCCAGGAGCGGCCACTGCACTCCAGTCTGAGTGACAGAGTGGGACTCCAACTCAAAAAAAATAATAGATAAATAAATTAATTAATACAAAGGATCCAAGTTATAAAAGGTATGTTCTTCTAATCATGGTGGGATGGAATTAGAAATCAGTAAGAGAAAAATCTTTGAAAAATTCCAAAATATTGGAAAATAAATACTTCTAAATAACCCATCCATCAAAGAAGAAATCAAAGAGAAATTAGAAAGTATTTGGAACAAAATGAAAATATAACATATTAGAATTTGGGGGATCGTGTTAAAACAGTATACAGGGAGAAAAGAAGAAAATTTACAAATCAATGCCCTCAGTTTCCACCTTAAGAAACTAGAAAAACAAGAACAAATAAAAACCAATGTAAACAGAAGAAAGGAAATAATAAAGATAAAAGTGGAAATCAATGATCTAAACAGAAAAACAGTAGCAAAAATCAATTAAATCAAAAGATAGTTCTTTAAGATCAATAATATTGATAAACTTCTAGCCAGTCTAATCAGGAAAAAAGAGGCAAGACACAAATTGCTAATATTAGGAATTAGGGAGGTGACATTACTACATATTTTATAGTTATTAAAGGATACTAAGGGAATATTATTATGTCAATTAATTCAACAACTTAGATAAAATAGATAAATTCCTTAAAAGACACAAAGTACCAAAGTTCAATCACGAAAAAAGTCATACTAAACCTACATATATTAAAAATTTGAATTTGTAGTTTAAGAGTTAAAAAATCTCTCCACAAAGAAAACTCCAGGTTCAGATGGTTAGTTCAATCAAACATTTAATAAAGAAATCGTATTAATTTTATGCAAATTCTTTCAAAAAACAATTATATGAGATCAGCATTACCTGGATAGCAAAACCAGAGAGATATCACAAGAAAACTATAGATCAATATTCCTTATAAACAAAGATGCAGAAATTCTAAACAAAATTTTAGCATATCAAATTCAATAGTATATTAAAATGGTAATAAACCATGATCAAATGGGGTTTATTCCAGGCATAAATATTCAAAAAATTAATGTAATGCATTATATTAACAAACTTTAAAAGTATATGATTATCTTAATAGATACAGACAAGCATTTGGCAAAATCCAACATCCATTCCTAATAAAAATGCCTAACAAACTAGAAAGGTAATGAAACTTCTTGGTCTGATTAATTGCATCTACAAAAAACCTTCAGCAGCTGGGCACAGTAACTCACACCTGTAATGCCAGCACTTTGGGAGGCCAAGGTGAGAGGATTACCTGAGCCCAGCCTGTGCAACTTGGTAAGACCTGGTCTCTAGTAAGTCAAAAAAATTGGGCAGGCATGGTGGTGTGTGCCTGTAGTTCCAGTTACTTGGGAGGCTGAAGCAGAAGGATTGCCTGAGCCCAGCAGGTCAAGGCTGCAGTAGCCGTGATTGTGCCACTGCACTCCAGCCTTGGTGACAGAGTGAGACTCCAACTCAAAAACAAAACAAAAACAAAAAAACAAGTCTTCAGCTGACATCATCCCTAATGGTAAAAGATTGAATGCTTTCCCCCTAAGTTCTGGAACAACACAGGAATGTCCACTTTTGTTATGTCTATTCATCACTGTACTGGAGGTTCCAACCATGTAGCATGTACGAAGGAGAAACAGAAAGCCACCAGATTAGAAAGGAAGGAGCAACACTGTTCGTGCTTACAGACCACATGATCACTTCATCTTGAATTCCTTATGCCAAGGTCTTTTCTGAGACCCCAGATTAGGTGTTCTCAACCCAGCACTACTGACGTTTTGTGCCAGATAATTCTTTTGGGGCAGTGGGAGGGTGGTGGCTGTCTGGACATTGTAGAGTATTTAGCATCATCTCTGGCCTCGGCCCACTAGGTAGCGGGGCACTTCCCCCACTTCGCCTTGACCCCCAACAGCTGCAACAGCCACAGACACCGCCACATGTTCCCTGATGGGAAAATCCTCCCCTCCCTACCTACACTGAGAACCGCCGTTCTGGAGTCAGAGTGGAAGTGGGTGATGGGAATTTGAGAATGAAGACCGTTGGCAGACGACGGCAGTAAAATGGGAAAAATAACAGAGGTCTGAACCGCATGAGCAAGAGTAGGCTTGGACTGCAAGGGATAGACAACAGGACTGAAGTATCATGTGGATGACGGGGGGAACAGAGAAGGAGCTCAAGTCTGGGTCTGCATAATTAGGCAGATGATGGTGTCACTACAGAGATTATCATGTCACGTGTAACAGAAGACAGGGGACACGTTTTCTCAAAAGTCTGTCCAAGTGGTTGAATTTTCTGATTCCACAGCATCTCCAGGTAAAAAGAATGAGAGAAAGTAGAACTTCATGAACTGTGCTCTGATTTGATTTTGGTCTTAACAAACATGAATTCAAGTGGTCTTCCTAATCCCCAAATCCTGAGCATCACTACTCACATTGAAACGTAGAAGACTGCATAGACTGTATCGCAGACTAGGTTTCTAAGTACACAGAGTAACAGAGTAGCCAAGAGTAGCCAGCCAAGCCAGGTAAGGAGAAGCACTCAAGTTCAGAATGGAGTTGCAAAGAGAATCCTTCCACAGAATCAGAAATAGATACTTTCTTCTATCTCTCTGGACAAGCAGATAAAGATCACAGTATATCCAACTGAATGTCCCATTCTGCTTCAGGCTGGCAGCTATATCTTTCCATTACAAGGCACAAATTTTTTTTTTACCATTACAAGGCACAAAATTTTTTTAAAAAATAACACCTTATTGGGAAAGTGTTTCATATATCATGCAATTCACACATTTAAAGTATACAATCCAGTGTTTTCCAGCTTGTTCACAGAGGTGTGCAACCATCACCACAATCACCCAAGAGAAACTCCATCCTCATCAGTAGTCATTCCCACTTCTCCCTTCCCCACCCTAACCTCTGCCCTGCATCTCCCAGCCTGGACAATCACTTGTCTACTTTCTGCCTCTACATATTAGGGCACAATATTCATTCACATGCTAACATTTTGTCTTGCTTTGTATCTTAATACACTTCAACTTTTGGAAATTGTTACATGCACTAGTAAATCATGGACTGAAATAATCTACCTTAGGATGAAAAGCAAAACACATGCCAGGAGCCTGTCGGGATATCAGCGCTTCCCCTTTCTTTTCCTTCTCTCCTCCTTTTCTGTGGCTGTTAGCAGTCGTTCGCTTTAATCGTATTAAGTCTTTATTTAAAGAAAAACACATAGCTTGTTATTTACTGCGTGAAAGACTACTGCAAATATCATGTGTTTTTTTTTCTGCAAATAATATTATGATTTCTGCCAACTTTTGTATGTGCTTCGGTTACAGCTAGCAAATACCAGAACTAAACAAATAATTTATATAGAGATACTTAGGAAAAAAATGACAAAGGCTAGTTTTTGTTGTTATTGTTGTTGTTGTTTTATCAGCCAAGCCAAATCTGTCATCTTCCACACATGGTTCACTAGAAAATGTTAATTCAGTATATAGCAAGAGAAAGATAACTTTATTATTATTATTATTTTATTACCATGGCAGTCTAGTCCTTTTCGTATAACCCACTTGGAGATTCTTCCATCTGCTGATATAGAAACTAGTATTTCTCTCTTGTCATCACCTGTTGTCCCTCGATCTTGTTCTATCCACTGTAGTTGCCATACAGGTCCCAAATGTTTATTAGGTGATTCACTAAAACATGGAAAAATACTAAATAAAGAATCACTATGATAATGTTTTAAAGGCCTTGGAGTGCAAGTGATAGGGACAGCTCCCCAGAAGATCATGACCTTCTTGTATAATGATGTTTTTATTGTTCAAAATTGGTCTTTTACTTTAAATATTTTGAAAAACAGGAAAGACAATTGCTTTGTCACTTCATATTCACTTCTGTTTTTTCCTATTTCTCACAAAAGAATGTGAGAAATTTTTATTTCTCAGTAAAAACAAAATGTACTGGCCTTTAGTAACTATCATAATAGCAATATAAGAGTACGCCTTTTTTTCAGAACTGACTTTTCTTACTCTTCGTGAACTCTTTCTTAGTTTGTGTAAATTCTGACTTTTACTTAATTTTACACACATTAACTATAAGCATCTTCATCTTTATAAATATTTTTTTCTATCACTTAATTCAATTAGTCATTTAAATCTTATTCAGGCAAACAATTTTTCTTGCTGTGTTTTACTTTTCTTCCTATGCTTCAGGACTACCCATTGGTTTGACTCTTTATGGATAAGATTTAATATTTTTCTGAAAAATTATAATCACTTAGATCACTCACTCTTTTTCTGTCAGATTAATGGGGTACTTTGTTCCTAGTTCTGACTTCCTTGATTTTTTATAAAAGCCTCTAATGCAATAGTTCTGATCATTTTAAAAATCATGGATGCCCTGGATTATTTAGTAATAATTATAAACCCTCTTGCCAGAAACAAGTCCAAAGGCCCATGCTTACAAAACTGCAAATGATTTCAAAGTTTAAGAACCTGTTAAGTTTTAGAACCCCTGCTTTAATGATTATTTCCAGTTCTTCCCAAGTTAATTAAAACAGTTACAAATATATCACCCCATTGGTATCTAGTCTATTACAAAAACTTAATCTTTTGAATATCTTTTACTTTTAACTTTTTTGTTTTTCTTCACATAATTCACTTATTCATTCATTATTCATCAAGTATTATGATATTATGTGACATACTAAGGATACAAAGGTAAGGTTCAATCCTTGCTTTCAAGGAGTTTATACTCGCTTCAGGAAGATTACAGACACACACACACACACACACACACACACAGACAGAGAGAGAGTGTGTGTGATAAGTGCCACAGGAAAGGTAAGTATAGGATGCACAAAAGAAAGGAATTGGAAGATTTCCTGGATGACTTTGATTTCTGTGGATGACACCAAAGTAATAGTTTAAGAAGCATATACTGTTGAGACAAAAGAAGTTTATTGGTGAGAAGGGCGGAGAAGATGAAGGAGATAATAGGACAGAGTGTAACAGTTGGAGAGATGATATGAGGAATTACTAAATGTTTCAAGAATAATGACGTCACGCTCAATAATCATATAAATGTTCACTCAAAACTAAATGGCATTAGAATAAGTCTCCCTGAAAAAGCATGTATTATGCATCTATCTAATTTGGGGGTTCTCACCTGCTATCCAGAACTGGAACGCTGCTGCTGCTCTGTACATTGTAAATTGCAATCGTGCCATTGTGGTAGCCAACAGCTAAAAGGTTAGGTGCTCCAATTGAAAAATCCACAGCAGTAACGCCATATGAACTCTGATAAATACGTTCTGGCCACTAAATTTAAAAAATTATTATATTTTCAACTTGGTTTTGTAGACCACAGTAAAGCAGGAGATTATGGTGGCTAAAACTAGACTGGTAGCAGTGGTATGCAAGAAGAGTTAGCCTACAATCAGTTACTCCTGTCTTTCTAACTTCCAGTGTAGATGAGAAAAGAACCTCAATCGGTCATTTCCTTGACTTTGCTAAAAACCATGAATCCTCAGCTCTCAAAAGCTTTAAGAAATAGTGTCAGGTACGGTGACTCACATCTGTAATCTCAGCTACTTGTGAGGGCTATGGCAAGGGGGATCACTTGAGGCCAGGGGTTTGAGACTAGCCTGGGCAACAGTAGGGTTCCCTCACTTAAAAAAAAAGGAAGGAAGAAAGTAAAAAAAAAAAAAAAAAAAAAAAGGAAGAAAGAAATGAGGAAGGAAGGAAGGAAACACACCATGAGCTTCTACAATAATGATCCTATTTTGGTAATCTTTCAGCAGGATTTGTATGAGCATCACATGTCTACCTTCTTATGGCAACAAAAGATAAGCTGCAAACAAATCATCTGGCATATGTTTTTGTCTTCTAGTGTTTGTTCCACATGCTTGGATTATCTAACCATTTCTAAGCAATGAATCGAGAAAACTCTAAGCTACTCTGACCTACAATTCCATCAAGAGTTTTGTTTTGTTTTTTTATATTGTTTTGCTTCCAATGTCTAGCTTAAATTCTTTCCTATTTCTATCCACCTACTTGAAAAAGAAGATAAGCTACTGATAATGAATCTGATGTCAACTTTTCCACACTTAAAATTGCGTCTTCCTTTCTCTTATGCTGTATAAACCCAGTTTCCTGACAGACTGGGGCTTTTTATAAAAACTTTCATCTTTTTTATATACTCTTCTGGCCCTTCTCTAAATTTTCCACTTCTCATTTAGGGTTTGAGTTAAAACTAAATGTAAAACTTTAAAGTAACAGATTAACCAGGGCTATTTAGTAAAAAAAAAAAAAAAGGGAGGGGGGATTCTTATTCGTTCACTCTGAAAAACTTATGGCAGTAAGAAAGTCATATTAACCTATTTTATATCTACTGAGAATAGCAGAGATCAGGTGATCAGAAGCTGTTAATATGTTAAGAAACAACCACATATATTTAAAACACATGATCTTCAAAGGATTTTCATTTGCAGATTCACGCTTCTTTATAATTAGCTGGATAATCAATAAAGGCTCAAGTCTGCATCATCAGATCCAGTAGGATGCAGTAAATTATTCAATGAATATTTAGTGAATGAATTCTCTTTGCCCTATGTCAACTCTTTATCCTATGAACAAATTTTAATTGTAATGAATAATAAACCAAAGAAAATAAAGTATTGATTAAAGTTTTCTACACTTTGTTTAAAATTATTACATATAATTATGTACTTTATGAGAATTTTGTCATCAGTTAGCCAAATAAAAGTAAGTTATAAGAATTTTTGTTAACAGTTTACCATGGGATTCTTTATAGACCAGCAGCAAGCTAATCCTCTTTTTTGCTCTTTAAATCCAAAGTGCCCATAGCCAACAGCCAAAAGGTCCTGAAAACCAGAAAAACACACTTAAAATTTTTAAAAGATGGCATAAAAATATTGGCAAATGTATAAAGACACATATTAACAGACTATGTTAAAAATAGTGGTAAGACATTTCAGTTAAGAAGGAAAAAAAATGCCGGTATACCATCTGTTTATACTCTACACCTCCATTTTCCTGAGAAAAATAATTCATGAGTGTAATAGCTCTCATTTTCAGACTGAAAGATAAGTACTTAAAAAGAATCCATTGTGCTGGGCTTGGTGGCTCAGCCTGTAACCCCAGTGCTTTGGGAGGCTGAGGTGAGTGGATTGCCTGAGCCCATGGGTTCAAGACCTGCCCGGGCAACTTGGCAAGTCCTCATGTCTACAATAAATCAAAAATTAGCCTGGCGTGGTAGTGCCTGTAGTTCCAGCTACTTGGAAGGCTGAGGTGGAGGGATTGCCGGAGCCCAGCAGGTCGAGGCTGTGGTGGCCGGGAACATGCCATTGCCCTCCAGCCTGAGTGACAGAGCGAGACTCCCAACACACACACACACACACACACACACACATTAAAACAGACACTATAAAAAAGACAAGAGCGTTGCTCTAATTAGCTTATAAACAACTTCTGGAGTTTAAGCTAACTGGAAGTAAATTGTAGAGTCTAAAAACATTTTTGATGGGCAGGCTCAGTGGCTCAGCCTGTAATCCCAGTGCTTTGGGAGGCGGAGGCAAGTGGATGGCCTGAGCCCACGGGTTCATGACCCACCTGGGCAACTTGGCGAGACCTCGTCTCTACAATAAATCAAAAATTAGCCGGGCGTGGTAGCTCACACCTGTAGTTCTGGCTACTTGGAAGGCTGAGGCAGAAGAATCGCCTTGACCTGCTGGACTCAGGAGGTGGAGTCTGTGGTGGCCGGGAGCGTGCCACTGCACTCCAGTCTGGGTGACGGAGTGAAACTCCAACTCAAAAAAAAATTAAAAATAAATAAATAAAATTTTTGTTTGTTAGGTTTGAAAAGAAAATTTGAATGATACACATTTTTAAAAAATGAGGCAGGAAAGTTTTTCTTTAAAATAAGCTAAACACTTCTACCTTTCTTTCCTAGTTTCTAAAGACTATGGAATAAAAAGATTGCTATCTGGAACTGAAATAGAATAATCAACAGTGTTATTAGGGAGGGCCTCAGATTCAGACTTCCCTGTCTCTGAAGTGGACAATGTGTCATTGTCAGGTCATCTGTACCAAATGGTCTACTTAAATTAATTGAGTTTTTTGGGGAGATTTTTTTTTTTCCTCTTTTAGAATCTAAGGATACTTTTTCTCCACATATAGAATAAAGTTAAGGTAAATACATTAAGAGATATGACGGCCGGGCTCGGTGACTCAGCCTATATAATCCCAGCACTTTGGAAGGCCAAGGTGAATGGATTGCCTGAGCCGGCGGGTTCAAGACCCGCCCGGGCAACTTGGTGAGACCTCATCTCTACAATAAATCAAAAATTAGCTGGGCGTGGTAGCACGCAACTGTAGTTCCAGCTACTTGGAAGGCTGATGCGGA